TGTATGTCCGTGTAAGACCTTTGCATGGCCTTATAAGTCTGTGTATGGCTTTTTAATGTCCTTGTATGTCATTGCGTGTCATAGTATGTCTGTGTATATCTTTTGTAAGAATCGGTATGGCCGTCGATGTCCTTTGATATGTAAAATTTGATTTAACTATAAGAAGATTTATCCTAACTTTGCAATTTGTGGTAGAGATTAATGAGTGTATTAAAACATTGATGTCATAGCTTTTCAAGTACTGACTGTTGGGCTTGTTTCAATAAAATAAACATCAATAATCTTTTATAAAGATATAAATCTTCTCCTTCCTCATCAAAGCACCCCCTTCCCACCCCAGCCCCTACAGCTTTTACATGTTTATTATTAATAGAACTGAGTTAAAAATAGCCTGTCAAGCAGCGCCCGTAATACTTGACCTCTGAAAATGTATGATAGACTCCAAAAATGTACATTCAAAGTAGTCAACTCTAAAGTGTGCTTTCCTGTGCTAAATCCAAAATGTGGTTGCTCTTGTTCCCTCCAATATGTGGTTGGTCTTGTTAACTCCAATATGTGATTATTCTGGTTAAATTCAGTATGTGGTTGTTCAGGTTGACTCCAATATGTGATTAACTTTATGTGATTATATTTCACTTCAATATGTGGTCTGTTAGGTTAATACCGATATGTGCTTCATCAGGTTAATTCCAATATGTGTTTCAGCAAGTTAAATCCAATATGTGGCACCTCATTTTAACTCCAATATGTGGTTCCTCATTTTAACTCCACTATGTGGTTCCTGAATTTAACTCCACTATGTGGTTCCACAGGTTAAATCTAACATGATATTCCCTATTTAAACTCCATGATTGAGTTCGGCAAAATAAGGTATTTTTATCAGTATAAATATTTGAGCTGTGCCGTAGAAATAAGCTGTGCCTTTAAAATAAGCTGTGCCCAGAAACGAGATTTGCCGTAGAAATGAGCTGTGCCGTAGAAATCAGCTGTGCACAAAAAAATGATATGTGCCGTAGAGATGAGATGTGCCCAGAAATGAGCTGTGCCGTAGGAATGAGCTGTGCCCAGAAATGAGCTGTGGCGCATAAATGAGCTGTGCCCAGAAATGAGCTGTGCCGTAGAGATGAGATGTGCTCAGAAATGAGCTGTGCCGTAGAAATGAGCTGTGCCCAGAAATGAGCTGTGCCGTAGAAATGAGCTGTGCCCAGAAATGAGCTGTGCCCAGAAATGAGCTGTGGCGCAGAAATGAGCTGTGGCCAGAAATGAGCTGTGGCGCAGAAATGAGCTGTGCCCAGAAATTAGCTGTGGCGCAGAAATGAGCTGTGCCCAGAAATGAGATGTGCCCAGAAATGAGCTGTGCCCAGAAATGAGCTGTGCCCTCGATTATATAGAAACGTTTTCCCCGGCAGCGTGGAAGGGGTGGGCGGGGGGCAAGGATGGGGTCGAAGTAATAAGATGATTTTGGAGCTCAATGTTTTTGCCCCTCCCGCTCTTCACATATCCCAGGCTCAGAGGATCAATAGATTAGGAGTTGATTATCACAAATACACACAACATACAGTCCAAGAATATTGAGTACACAATTGTTTGATGACGTCATTTAGATATTATAATATATTAGTGATAAAATGTCACAATTAAGAAAAGAATTATGAAGTGTGATACCCAGAACTAAAAGAAAGAGTTTAAAAAAAGAAGGAAAAAAAGATGAAAATAGTATGATCAAAACAAAGATTTATTCTTAGTCTATCGACATAAAAACTCAAAATATGTTCCAAGCTGACAAATCATACAAATTGTGAGCACTGTTACAAACTGGGTCTGGAATAAGATAGCTTACTGTTTATTTGTACCAAGACACGGTCCCATATTTTTACTAAGACATGGTCCCATATCTGTACTAAGAAACAGTCCCATATTTGTACTTAGACAAGGTCCCATAATTTTACTTCGACAAGGTCCCATATTTGTACTAAGATGGTCCCATATTTGTACTAAAATGCGGCCACATATTTTTCCAATGATTATGACGTCACAAAACTTGAAGGTGCCTGGGACTTGTATAATTTTTAAAATGTTGCCAGGGATTTGCGCGCGCCATCTAAGTTATTTTTTTTTTACTGCTGAACTTGGCCTTCTTACAATGACTTTTGAAATGTAAATCTCAATAAAGTTACTTCCCCTCATAATTATCATCATCAAAAACTAGCGTTGACTTAAATGTTCATGCTTTGCTACGGGACAATAGCAAAGATCATCCATACAAACAGTATTGGTTACAGATGTGCTGAAAGAGGCAAGTGTTTAAGATGTGCTGAAAGAAGAGTTACAGATGTGCTGAATGAATCATGGATTACAGATGTTCTGAATGAATCATAGATTACAGATGTGCTGAATGAATCATGGGTTACAGATGTGTTGAATGAATCATGGGTGGCAGATGTGCTAAATGAAGCCTGGGTTACAGATGTGCTGAAGGAAGCATGTATTACAGATTTGCTGAAATAATCATGTCTTACACATGTGCTGAAAGTATTACGTGTTACACATGTGCTGAAAGTATCACGTGTTACAGATGTACTGAAAGAAGCATGTGTTAAAGATGTGCTGAAAGAAGCATGTGTTAAAGATGTGCTGAAAGAAGCATGTGTTAAAGATGTGCTGAAAGAAGCATGTGTTACAGATGTGCTGAAAGAAGCATGTGTTAAAGATGTGCTGAAAGAAGCATGTGTTAAAGATGTGCTGAAAGAAGCATGTGTTAAAGATGTGCTGAAAGAAGCATGTGTTAAAGATGTGCTGAAAGAAGCATGTGTTAAAGATGTGCTGAAAGAAGCATGTGTTAAAGATGTGCTGAAAGAAGCATGTGTTAAAGATGTGCTGAAAGAAGCATGTGTTAAAGAT